CCGGTAGCCAAGGGCATTGCTACTAGGAGCAAGGACGCTACTAGTAGCTCCTGGCCATACTGCTAGTAACAAGAAGCTACTAGTAAAGGGCGTTGCTACTAGGAGCAAGGAGGCTACTACTAGTAGCTCCTGGCACTACTGCTAGTAACAAGAAGCTACTAGTACAGGGCATCGCTACTAGGAGCAAGGGCGCTACTTGTAGCTCCTGGCCAAACTGCTAGTAACAAGAAGATACTAGTAAAGGGCGTCGCTACTAGGAGCAGGGACGCTACTAGTAGCTCCTGGCCTTACTGCTAGTAACAAGAAGATACTAGTAGAGGGCGTCGCTACTAGGAGCAAGGACGCTACTAGTAGCTCCTGGCCTTACTGCTAGTAACAAGAAGCTACTAGTAAAGGCCGTCGCTACTAGGAGCAAGGAGGCTCCTGGCCACGCTGGTAGTAACAAGAAGCTACTAGTAAAGGGCGTCGCTACTAGGAGCAAGGACACTACTAGTAGCTCCTGACACTACTAGTAGCTCCTGGCCTTACTGCAAGTAACAAGAAGCTACTAGTAAAGGGCGTCGCTACTAGGAGCAAGGACGCTACTAGTAGCTCCTGGCCATACTGCTAGTAACAAGAAGTTACTAGTAAAGGGCGTCGCTACTAGGAGCAAGGACGCTACTAGTAGCTCCTGGCCTTACTGCGAGTAACAAGAAGCTCCTAGTACAGGGCGTCGCTGCTAGGAGCAAGGACGCTACTAGTAGCTCCTGGCCTTACTGCCAGTAACAAGAAGCTACCAGTAAAGGGCGTCGCTACTAGGAGCAAGGACGCTACTAGTAGCTCCTGGCCTCACTGCTATTAACAAGAAGCTACTAGTAAAGGGCGTCACTACTAGGAGCAAGGACGCTACTAGTAGCTTCTGGCCTTACTGCTAGTAACAAGAAGCTCCTAGTAACAAAGGCCATCGCTACTAGGAGCAAGGACGCTAATAGTAGCTCCTGTCCTTGCTACTAGTAACAAGAAGCTACTAGTACCAAAGGGCATCGCTACTAGGAGCAAGGTTGCTACTAGCTCCTGGCCCTAGTACCAGTAACAAGAAGCTACTAGTAACAAAGGGCATCGCTACTAGGAGCAAGGAGGCTACTAGTAGCTCCTGCCCTTACTACTAGTAACAAGAAGCTACTAGTAACAAAGGGCATCGCTACTAGGAGCAAGCATAGCAAGAAGCTACTAGTAACAAAGGGCATCGCTACCAGGAGCAAGGACTACTAGTAGCTCCTGCCCTTACAACTGGTAACAAGGAGCTACTAGTAACAAAGGGAATTGCTACTAGGAGCAAGGATGCTACTAGTAGCTCCTGCCCTCACTACTAGTAACAAAAAACTACTAGTAACAAAGAGCATCGCTACTACGAGCAAGAAACAAGAAGCTACTAGTAACAAAGGGCATCGCTACTAGGAGCAAGGACGCTACTAGTAGCTCCTGTCCTTGCTACTAGTAACAAGAAGCTACTAGTTACTAGTACCAAAGGGCATCGCTACTAGGAGCAAGGACGCTACTAGTAGCTCCTGCCCTTACTACTAGCAATAAGAAGCTACTGGTAACAAAGGGCATCGCTACTAGGAGCAAGGACGCTACTAGTAGCTCCTGCCCTAACTACTAGTAACAAGAAGCTACTAGTAACAAAGGGCATCGCTACTAGGAGCAAGGACGCTACTAGCTCCTGGCACTAGTACTAGTAACAAGAAGCTACTAGTAACAAAGGGCATCGCTACTAGGAGCAAGGAGGCTACTAGTAGCTCCTGCCCTTACTACTAGTAACAAGAAGCTACTAGTAGCTCCTGCCCTTACTACTAGTAACGAGAAGCTACTAGTAACAAAGGGCATCGCTACTAGGAGCAAGGACGCTACTAGTAGCTTCTGCCCTTACTACTAGTAACAAGAAGCTACTAGTAACAAGGGCATTACTTTTGGTAATCCCTTCACATCGTCATCTGAGTCCGCAACCTTGACGGCTGTGTCCCATTTTGCACCAGGAGGGAGGTGGTGCAAAAGCTCAGCTGCGTGGCCTTTCTTGGTGTCCTAAGTTCCAACGCAGGCAGAGAACAAGTATAGAAAAACAGACAGGAAACGAAGACAAATAGATAGAACATAATAAAACCTTAGAGCACTATTGCTTTTTTACATTTTTCTTGCCTTTCTAGGCTTTTGTTCTCTTTCTTAGGGATGTCACGCTGTGACTCGCTGTGACTCGGCCAGTCCTGTTGCTTTGCACGCTCCGCATCAACATACATATATTGTTCCTCATAGTCTTCGACCTCAAAACATTTAAACAATAAATGAATTTCTATGAACTCATCGATGTCTTTATATTCGACTGATGGTGTCACAGCATGGCAACTTCGCTACAGGAAAATGTAGGCACCATCTTGAATCTTAACCTGTTCAAAAGACTAGATCTTGCAACGGCATGGCAGAAACGCGAATTGCCGAGGGTTTGGCATGCTTGAAGCGTTCCCAGTACTTCAGTTTGTCCCAATCCTTCCAAGCATACAATGGCGACAGCGAGCTCTTTGTGCTCGTCTATCCAACCCAGCCTGAGGTTGGTTCTTCTCATCTGAGTAACCACCGCGCTCCTGGCTGGACTGGCGTATTTTGCACGTATACACAAAAGAGGTTGTTTTTGGACAGTGAAAACTCCTGGAATTTGTCCCAAAAACCGGCAAACTGCTTCTTCTGCTTGTCTTTCTGAAGTCTTTCCAGCGTATCTAGGCCTTGAACCAACGTCTGATTGCCGGAAGCGTCCGTTCAGATCCATGCAGCCCAAGTGTCGAAGAGAATGCTGTGAGATTTCAGCAATTAGGAACAAGTGCATCGCTACTAGTAACACGTGCCTTACTACTAGAAACAAGAAGCTAGTAGAAACAATAAGAAGCTATAGACTTCAATTAGATTTAAATTAAGATTAGCATTAACGGAGGCTACTAGGACCTTTTCGCGATCTGAAGCGCCCGTTCAGATCCATGCAGCCCAAGTGTCGAAGAGAATGCTGTGAGATTTCAGCAATTAGACTTTGATCGTCACATGCTTCCAGCGCCTGGGCTAAACTGCGAACCGTCAACTACAGACCGTCAGATGCCAGCCTTGGCCAGGGCATCTTTGGCTTTGTCCAGAAAATCGAGATGTCCATAGCACCTCACAAAGAATGTCTCTTGGTTTAAAAAGAAACAATGTTCGCTACTAGGAACAAGTGCATCGCTACTAGTAACAAGTGCCTTACTAGTAGTAACAAGAAGCTGGTAGACATCACATCTCGGAGGTAATTAAGTTCTAATAAATTCTATGTAAATTCTACTTAAACTTAATTCTAATAGCTTCTTGTTACTACTAGTAAGGCGCTTGTTACTAGAAGCGATGCACTTGTTCCTAGTAGAAACAATAAATAAACTTAGTGAGCGCTTGGCTGTGATGCTCGAAACCAGGCTTTGGCACGCGTCATGTGGGGCAGGCCTTCGGGGACCACAAAGTGTCACATGTCATGTTCAAAACAATAAAGGCCCTGACGAAACTCGAGCAAATTGACTCCTGTGTGGCCGTGCTTTCTCTCTGACCTTGCATATTGAGAACAAAGGAAGGAGGACGGAAGGTTCAAAAACGAAGGTCAACAATCTGTGAAAACTAAGCTTTGCTCTCTTTGATCTTCTGTCGTATCTGCGGGTCCGTGAAAACCATCTCATCTCGATGGTTCCCGACCAGGCATTCAAGAGCAGCATCTAAAGACTGATGCCAGTCTTTGAGCCTTTCGGGTCCGTGTTGCGTCCAACTGTTACTAATGGCGATGCCCTTGTTACTAGTAGCTTCTTGCTACTAGTAGTAACTTGCTACTAGTAGCAATGACCTCCAACCTACTAGCGATGGCCTCCAACCTAGAAACGATTATTTCCTCTGAGGTTTGGACTTGTAATGGCATGTGCTCTTGTTGAGGTGGAGCGTGCTTCTCAGAACAACCACGTCGTTCCACTTCTTCTTGCCTATCAAAATGGACTTGTCGTACGCGATGGTGAGCCTTGGCAGTGAACTGGGTACAGTGTGAAAACAAGGGCTTTGTCTCCGACTGCCGCTATTGAATTGGTTTTGAGCTCAACACAGCTGTTCCAAGGCATCATCCTCAATTGCTTTGCATCCACAGTTGGAAGATTCAAGTGATTGCTTTCCATTCAAAGTACTGTATATACTAATATGTATCCAAACGGGTTTCTTTAAGACTGTGTGTGTTTTAATCTCACGTGTACTTTCATACGTCATTTGCGTGTATTTGGGATGGTTTCTTTTCGGAATTTGTCGCAGAAAATACGCGTCTTGTCCGCGCGTGTTTTCGTCGGTCGATGTAAAACACACTGTAATTATGACTTCAGAACTGTTCCACGATTCCGAGGGTTTTGGTCGGATGGCACGTTAACGTTTTGGTCAAACCCTTCTGCCCTACGCACACAATACCAGTGACTGAGAGGGGGGTGGGGCGGGTTGGGGTGGTGCTACGTTCACCAGTGGTGGCTTCGGAGCACGTACCCAGATGCTTCTGTGGGACAAAAGCTCTACGCGCACTGGGAAGCGTGTGCGGCTTAAAAGTGTGCTTCCGTCGCTGGCTTTACCCGTGAGTGTTGGGCATCGGCCTTTGATCGTTTTGACCGGAACAGTGATGGTGTCATTTCCGCAGAGGATGTGCAGGCACTTGAGAGTGAGACCACCAAGAAGAACTTGAAACGTTGGCTTCTATAACTATACAAACGTCTTCTTTCTTTTCCCTATTTGTCTTCCAAAAAAGAAGGACGTAAACGCGTTAAAACAACGTTGCATTTTTCACAAACGTGTCACAGTCTTAAGTAATATATATTGCACCCCCCCTTCCAATACCCACCCAATGTGTGTTTTGTACTGTAAATTACAGTGCTTTAGGGATATTTTGGCATCATAGTTTTAAGTGATATTTTGTGACCTTTTTCCAAATTGTTGTTTTGAACACTCTCCATTTGGAGGATATATATATATGTATACAATGGGTATAGAAAGAAAGAAGAAAAGTAAGACTCCAGTACTTAGAGTGGATTGAGGATGGAGAAAAGTACGCCACGGTATGCGTACCTGCGGGATTGAAAATGGAAGATTCTGCCAGGACTTTGGGTGGAATCTTGAATCTTCAATCCAGAAGGTACCGTACCATGGCATACTTTTCTCTTTGCTAATGACTGATTTTACTTTTTTGTTCACTCTTTTGGGTACTTCAGCTTTTTCATTTTTGAGTAAACAATCTATACAAATTTTCAAAGTAATTCTTGAAGTGAGCTTTCATTGAAATATATTCTAATAATTTCAAACATCAATTTATTCATGAAAACGATTACAACAAGTATGACAATATTGCTGTAAATCAAACTATTTTCCTGAAGTTATCCTGAATTTAAGTTTTTGAATACACCGTAGCTCTAATAGTCAAAAAAAAATTACTGTAGAATTATGTTTTATGATTGATGGTAGGAAGAGGCACTTGAAGGACTGTCCACATAGGTATTAGGCAAATGGGTGTCAAAGCAAACAATGAATGGACGGTAAACATCATTACAGTACCTGTTCTGCTTGTAACTGTTCCTTTAGCCAAGGGCACTATCAAGTGCATCTCAAATCAAAGAAACATAACAAACATCTGAGCACAATCTAGCTTTTAATGTGTCATGATATAGTTCTTGTGAAATTATATCATAAATCTTTCACACATGCTTTCTTGGTGATGCGTTGTGAGACTGCTATACTTTATTTGGTGACAACTATTGAAATGCTTGACTGTGATCGAGAAAACATATTAGAGGGAGGCCAATGTGGAATTGTGGTTTCAAGTTAGTTTAGTGTTGGGGGCTCGAGATGGGCTTGATTACTTGCGGGAGGTTACTTAATCATGTTAACATTTTGCCAAACGGAGCCATGTGTCATTCTCAACGCAAAAGGTGGGTATTGGTGGGGGGTAGCAAATATATATATATATATATGTCCTTCATATGTCGTTCCTTACTCTCTCTCTCTCTCTCAGCAAACATAGAACGGTGACATCATGCTGCAATGAAGTAGCAGTCTGTCTAGGGTGCGTAAAGAAAGTACAGGGCCAAGCAAGAAGAGCCTAGCTTGCCAAATATTGCCGTGTTTATGCAAACGCTCGAAGCCTTGCACGCGAGTCTCGATTGGGACGTGACACAGAGTTGAAAACAGCGAAACCGATCGTCCATGATCATCCTTTACGTTCCTGTACCATCCCCGTGTCTCGAAAGGAGCGCATTAGCATGCATTAGCGCTGGTCAGGAGACATGGCACACCATGGTACCGTGCTGGACCAGCTTGCTCCTTTTCGCTTGCTCCCCTTGCAATCCGCAACATCGCAAAATGCTGTTACATAATTTATCCGATCTTTCGAAGTGTAGAGGCGTAGAGGTGTCAGCGCTGTTTCAAGGCTAGCTTATCTGATCAAACCTCCGAGAGCGAAGCACAGTGTCACAGGCTTGACCGGTGTCTGGTGTCATGATTGTGTCGTGAGAGTCGACGCACGAAGCTGGGGACATGCCCCTAGTAGCGTCCTTGCTCCGTTCGTAGCGATGCCCTTTGCTCTTAGTAGCTTCTTGCTCCTAGTAGTAAGGCCAGGAGCCCCTAGTAGCGTCCTTGCTCCTAGTATCACCGGGCCGCCGGCATATGCAGCAATTGCCTTGGCTCAAGCTGTCAAAGGAATCGTTGATAGAAAGCAGTCTCTGACAATCACTTTCCGAACAAGCGAATGATTGCAAGGTCGCCTTCTCGTACCTCTCTTTGCTGAATGCTTCGTTACCCAGCGCTTTGCTCTCCTCAGCCTTGATTGTGTTCACCAATCACGAAGTCACGAAGGGTTGAAGAAGAAGAAGAAGAAGAAACAGAAACGGTTGTCACTATGCACATGCTGAACAAGAACTACATCGAGCGAAAGAAGACAAACGAAAGTCAAAGCAGATTGTCACTCAAGTTCGAGAAAAATCAATCTTGTCGAGATGGACGTACCAGATTGCCAAATCGGCAAGCAATCCGGGGGCGCTACTCGCTTCAAGAACCCATAGTCTTCAAAGGGGTCTCCATATTCATCACGCCTAGGCCGCACACACCCATTGGACGCGTGCTTGTGCAAATCATCTGCCAATCGATTGTCGATGATTGTAACCAAAAAAACCTTGTGGAGACTGCTCTATGGCACTAATAGGGAGAGGTTGGGGTGGATTAACATAGGAACAGGAAAGCACAGATCTGGATGTTTGATGCGCTTCTTCGTCACATTGGCAAGGAGCTGAGGTCCATCGTGACCTGGGCGGCCACTGGGTGGCGCATTTTGTTGCATGTGAACAGTATGGAGCATGTGGACAACTCAAACACTTCAATTTTGCCTCCAACAAAACCTCGTCGTTTCGTCTTGTGAAAGTGCCGGGCTGGTGCTGCCAGCCATGAGTTGCCAGCCTCGCGTACCGAAGGCAGCAGCGCCCGCCGCCACTGAATTATCAGGAACATCGTCACGCCTTCTGACATCCCAAGATAGAGATAAATAGAGCATTGCAGAACGACCGAGCCAAAACAGCCATGGAAACAGCCGTGCAGCATCATCAAAATCTGACCATCGCTGTGGTTTAAAGCCGCTAACAATGATCATTCCAAAGAAATCTCTGCAATTGTTTCGCTTTGCTTTGTAGAAGGTGAGGCGAACATCAAATTTCACTACACGGTGAAACTACAAATTCTTCAGCATGTTGTGTGGCAATTGCCGCAATTGCCCTCAACTCTCAACCCTGCTACAAACGCACTCTTTGGAAACGCTAACTGCTCCGCTCAGCTCTGTGTGCAGTAAGTGGGTAACTTCCGAAGAATCGCTGAGAAAACTCCCCGAAGAATTGGCTATGACACAGCGCTCGCATAGGGGTGCAGTCAGGAGCGATCAAAAGCTACAGTAGGTGGTGTGGTTTGAACATATTTGTGGTGAACACATGTAGCTGGATGTATACAAACCTCTGTAAATGGGGGGATTGGACCCTGAGGCGGCAGATTGTGGACGAAGATGCACAAAGCAGCCAAAGCCACTGCCTTTTTCCTCAGAACAGAGTTCGCCCTGAGTTGGCTGACTGCTGGTCATCAGCTTGTCCTGTCCCTGCAGAACAACGTTGTGCGCTCCAGACCCGAGTTCTTTGGATGACCTCCTCAGTATGACCACATAGTCTGTTCGCTGGAACAATGTTTGATCAAAAGGTCAAAGTCAAACAACAGGGGTAGAAACAAGTGCCTTACTAGTAGTAACAGGTGCCTTACTAGTAGTAACAAAAAGCTATTAAATTAATTTAATTATCGAAAGGGTCAAGCCTTCAGCCTTCAGATCCTCAAAGGGGCCAGTTGACATCTCTAGGAAGTCAAAGCCTAAGGTCGTCCATGTTACCATCGTCTTCTCCCCAGGACTGATAAAGAAATGAGAATCTCTATAAATTACCAACCTTGCATTCAAATAGAAAATGAAAAAATGCGTCTTCCAATCTTGAAATTCATTCTTTCGGACTGTGACTTCGGAGCTCTAGCTGACTCCATAAGATCCCTCTCTGGCGGTGATCAGCTCTTGTATGAGTCGACAAGGGGAATGGTGTTCAATTACATAGTGTGACCTTTGCTCAGGAGCCCCTAATGGCGTCCTTGCTCCTAGTAGTGATGCCAGGAGCCCCTAACATAGGCCAGATTCAAGTTTCTCAGGTCGAGGCATGA